AAAAGATCAGAAACAAAGTGTTAAAAAGAGCAGAACAACATTTAACTTTTATCAAAGGTTAAAAGATCAGAAACAAAACCAGTGAAAATTTCTGGAGGCTGTGCTGGGACCCCTGTTTTTCAGTAGACTTCTAAATGATGTGGGAAATACAATTTTCTCATAATTGTCCAGGGGAACTGGACAACTTCTGAATTTGTGGAAACTGACCTACAGATTTGTGAAAAGTTTTGTCATATGGTGGGCCTGTGCAGCAAAAATGGCAAATAAACTTCACTGTGGGAATATAATCAATAGATAATATTCTATAGAGGAAGAAAAAGTGTGACCAGCAGGTCAAAGGAGGTGATCCTGTCCCTCTACTCTGCTCTCATGAGACCCCACTTGCAGCACTGTGTCCTCAACATAAAAAGGACATGGAACTGTTGGAACAATTCCAGAGGAGGCCACGAGGATGATCAGGGGACTGGAGCACCTCCTGTATGAAGACAGGCTGAGGAAGTTGGGGCTGTTCAGCCTGGAGAAGAGAAGGCTGCATGGAGACGTCATAGCAGCCTTCCAGTATCTGAAGGGGGCCTATAGGGATGCTGGGGAGGGACTCTTCATCAGGTACTGGAGCAATAGGACAAGCGGTAATGGGTTTAAACTGAAACAGGGGAGTTCAGGTTATATATAAGGAAGAAGTTCTTTACTGTTAGGGTGGTGAGGCACTGGCACAGGTTGCCCAAAGAAGTGGTAAATGCTCCATCCCTGGCAGTGTTCAAGGCCAAGTTGGACAGAGCCTTGGGCAACATGGTCTAGTGTGAGGCGTCCCCGCCCATGGCAGGGGGGTTGGGATTGAATGATCTTAAGGTCCTTTCCAACCCAAACCATTCTATGATTCTATGATTTTTTTTCTATGAAAAAATTTAGCCCAGCAGTGTATATAGTATCGTGTATACGCTGTATCAGTAAGTGGGCTATTACCACTTAGACATGAGTACTGCATATCACTCTTGCAAAATTCTCAGTTAGTAACAAATGGACTGTAGGGAAGCATTCAGAAAGGAAAAGAGGACAAACCAGAATGCACTGTTTTGCCATTGTATAATTGTAAGGTACTTCCACATCTCACATATGTCATGCGTTTAAAAAATGGATTTAGAAGAAAATATTCAGCAAAAGATGGCTGTGATAATATGAAATCTGGAATGTTTTTCATAAAAGAAGGCACTGCATAGATTAATACTTCAGCTTGGAAAAAGTCACATCAGAAAGACATAAAGTCATGATGTGCACAGAAGAAAATATGGTTTGTTAATCACCCATGACAACATGTGTAGTAAACACCACCACGTGAAAATACTAAACAGATGTCTTACAGAAGGGAGCAGAAACATTTTTGCTAATGTACAAATTTAAACTGAGAAACTTCAAGCTACCAGTTGCTGTAAAATCCAAATACACGATTCTGGTGTGGACAGTCCATGGCTCTTGAGCTCCTGAGTCCAAGAAGGGCAGTATGCCTAGGCTGTATCAGGTAATAGACAGCAGCAGACTGTTCTTCCCTTTGTGAGGATGAAAAGCATCCAGCAGTTGCCAACTGGATATAACCCAGTTGGATAATTAGAGCCTTACCTGCATGCCCAGCCAAGTTCAGGCCATCAAAAGAAGCTGTTAATTCCCACTTGCCAGTAAGGAAGGCATATGTTACCTGCCCTATAGAACCGGCTACATAAAATTTGGTATGAGGCTCTTAAGGGCAAGATCAGCTACTCCTGATATGAAGGTTATTAAGAATGTCCTGGGTAAATTAATTGCCCAGAATTGGCTAGAAAACATAGCAGCAGAGGTGTAATCTCTGCCACAGTAAAACCTGGAACTTTTGATAGGAGCTCCTTAAGTCTTCAGCAGATGGGAAACTTATTTCCACAGTACTTGCCTTGCTCCTCAGCAAAGTCCCTCAGTACCTACAACTGACCACCAATACAGACAGGATACAGAGCCAATGTAGTCCTCTGGTCTGATGGACCATTTTTATGGGCCTAGTATTCCTTTTTCCCTGTGAACACACAAGATATCCAGAGCAGAAGGTTCTCATGGAAGTTCACTCTGCAGTGTGTATTAATCACTGTATGCACAGGGCAAAACCTGTGATGTGGACTGCTCATACTTTTCCATGGAGAAAGCTAGTGCCAGATGGTGCCAGCCCTGGGGAAACATAGCTATGCCCATCCAGAGCTAAATTATTGCCTGAGATCTGGGCTTTTGGGAAGTCCTAAAGCTATTGTGGAGGCAATGGGACCCAGGCGGTACCTCTGTTTCCCTCACCACCAAGCAACAGGATAAAGTGTGGTGAGAAGCCAGATGGCAACTCTGGTCATGCTGTTGCAGAAGCAGTGAAAGGAGGGAGCTTCAGCCACCCCAGGAGTGACTTAGAGCTTGTGACTATCTGCTTTAGTGCTCCTCTTCCTCCACAGCCTTTTCACCACAGCTTCACCCCGTGCCTGCTTCCCCGAATCTGATTTCCCCTACCCTCTCTCAGTGGCACTGGCAACTTGACTGTAACGTCCCATCTGCTGAAGGGACAGTGTGACCTAGTTTGTGGGGAGTTTGGCCTCATTCCTCTTCCTGTTCACTGTTCTGCTGAAATTTTGGCCAATGCACAGACCTTCCCCCTACACCAGCTTTCCTGCCTTTGAAAACAAGGATATAAACCATGCTGTTTATAGACTTCCCTTTAGCTGTTTTGGGATGTGTTGGTGAAAAGAGATACATGAATTAAAGTTCTGTGAGAGCTTTAAATAACTTGGGTCACAAAGCCCATGTATAGACATTCCAGGACAAAAAAGCATCTGAGCTGCCAAAAGAGACTTCGGCAGCTCCCTACATACAGCCGACTGTTCTGACAACAGAGGCAGTGACTCTGTCAGAAGCAAGCATCAAGAAACAGTAGGTGACCCAGAGAAAGTGGCTGAGGCAAAAATGATGAGATTGTCTACATAGAGAAGGTAATACTCTAGTTGAAGATGGACTAATGTCTGCGTATTGACTCAGCAACCTCCTAAAACAAATGCCCAGCCAAAGAAGGCACTGAATTTCATCAGCTCCACCAATCCAAAACTATACGTGCCAATTCAAGTGCCATCACGACCCTGCCTTTCCGACCATATGCAGTGTATTCCCAGGAATGTCTACTGCATAGTAAAATGGCTTGCATGGACAACCACGTACCAGAACAGAGGAACAATACCTCCTGTTGAATCCTTCCAGCACAGACCAGGAGCAAGAAAAAAAAATCATCTTGCTGTAGTATCTTATAGAATTTTTTGCTTGCAAGACACCTCTGGATGTCTCAAGCCCAACTTCTCTCCCAAAGAGGACCATTGCAAAGGGCTCAGGAGATAGAATTTCCACCATTTTTCTTGTGTCGCCTGTTCCAGTGCTGCCCTAACTTGGAGAATAGGTTTTCTAATACGTAGTCTGAGACGTAACTATCTCCTGTGCAGCCAGACGCATCTGAGACAGAAATAGCAGCAACTGTTGCTACTCGAAGAAAACTCCTACTTGTGCAGAGCACAGTAAGCAAATCTCAGTTGGAAGCCTCATTTTGTCTCAGCTCATGGCTGGCTCCCCTTCAACATCTGACCTACCCTGCGGCACTTAGAACCACTACCCTCATACTACCTAGAAATTGACTGCTCAGACTCCGCTGCCTCCCTGTGAGGCTCCTGTCTTCATTCTGTGGATCCCAGCTACACCCCTCTCTTCCTCACCTCTTCCTTTTGCCTTTTTTTCTTCTCCCCTCCCAGAATGGGGCTCAGGTCAGGGACAAAGAGCAGCATGTTGCTCATAGGAGGAGGGGTCTGAGCAAATTCATTCCCTTTCCCTCTGATCTTGGGCAGGTATGAATAAAATAATTAATCATTAATTAATTGCATCAGATCACTGTAGGGACACCAGAGACCTCTGCCTGACCTCAAAGCAGACTTTGCTGGCTGATCTGTCCCAGAAGCACCCAGACAGGGCAGATGACTGAGGGGCTGATGGTACAGTGTGAGTGAAAGGTCCTTCAGTCTGAGTTGGTCACTACATCACCTCTGACCACACAGCAAGCAGCAGCGGTAGTGCTGCCCTTCCTGCTACAGCTGCTAGCACTACTGAAGTGCCCTGTTGCAAGCATTACAAGAGCTGCAATGGTGGTGGTGAGGGCTGCACTTCTGCCAGCACAACGCAGCAGGAGGCACAATATGTGACAGCAGCCAGGGTCTGAGGAGAGAGGCTGCTCCTGTCCAGACTACAGGCTTCAGAGCAACCCTCTGTGGTAGGGGAGGCTGAATGGGGAGGCCAGACTCCAGCCAGCCTGTGCCTCCCTGGGCTTCCCCTCTCCGCAGTAGAGCAGGCACTGCAGCCATGCTGCTGATCTGCTGAGCCCTGGGGTGGACGACCCAGGGGAGGGTGCCAGTGCCAGGCTCCATGCTGAAAGAGGAGAATCTAGGTCACACATCCTCTTTTGGGAACAAGTACATCTGATGCTGCCAAGGAAAACAAAGTGGCTTGAAAGAAGCAGGAGAAAGGGGAGCGAACTGGCTTGAAAGCAACAAGAGAACAGAGAGAAACAGCCCAGCGATTGAAATAAGGATACTGCAGGGATTCTAGCATCATGTCCACAAAACCCTAGGGACCTAAAGGTTTGTAGGCAAGGATATACTCAGGCAAAGATGCTGTGAGGAGCCAGAGCTGGACTAGCAGGCAGCTACAGGGCAGGAGTGTGAGCCCTGGAAGGGGATAGGTGTACATGTCCCAGGGCTGAACAAGCAGGGGTTTGCAGTGTGGGAGTGGGGAGCACTGGCAGAGCTCCCTGCTCAGGAAGCTCAGGGCTTGGCTGGTAGTGGGATGCCAGGCATCAATGGAAGAAACTGGCACCGCTGTTTGGCAGAAAGGAAGAAAATAGAAGGAAAAAGCTGCGCTAAGACCACCCCCCCACCCCTTGCACATGTGCTGCTTACGGTTCTGTGGTAGGAGAGCTGTTTCCAGGAAAGAAGAGGAGAAGGAGGAAGATGTTTGGTTTGCTGAGCAGCCCATTCTTCCCCATGGTGCAGAGCAGGTTGTGGTGAGTCAAGTAGATACACTGTCTGGTCCGGTGCTGCTGTTTTCCTGCACCTTGTAATTCTGCTCCACTCTCTGCTCCGTCAGCCTTTTTATAACCGCTTTCTGCAAACAGCCCAGGGGCTGGAGGAGATAAGGGCTGGGGGCCAGGGCCCATCCGGAAGTGGGGAGAGGCAGCAACAAGGAGGAGCTGGAACAGAGGGACAGTATTTGCCCAGAGACTTTCCAAGTGGGGGAAGGGTATTTATTGGATACTGCTTACATGAGAAATCTTTGAATGATTCAAACCCTGCTTCCTTTAACCCACCAAAATCCATAGTGTTGGGGAAAGCTTTGTTCATCTCAAGGCAGCATAATACACAATCTGCCTTCTCTTAGGGTAGCTTTAGATTAGGTATTAGGCAGAAGTTCTTCCCTGTGAGGGTGGTGAAGCACTGGCGCAGGTTACTCAGAGAAGCTGTGGCTGCCCCATCCCTGGCAGTGTTCAAGGCCAGGTTGGATGGGGCTTGGAGCAACCTGGTCTAGTGGAAGGGGTACTCCTTCCTATGGCAGGGGGTTGGAAGTGGATGATCCTAAGGTACTTTCCAACCCAAACTATTCTATGATTCTTTGAAATTAACCATGTTCAACATAAGGTAATACTCCCTTTGGTCAGATCATCCAATCACAACACTCTAACATGGGGTACTGTGATCTTTTGAAGCCCCAAGCCAGATTTATAAGTATTTTCAGAACAAAATGAAGCACACACAGAGAAACACTGCCCATGTTATGTTAACAGAATACTGCAGTAGTTTGCTGACAGAGTTGCTAATAAAGTTGCTATGGGTTAGGCAATCTGTCAGGAATATAACCCAAACTGGGGTGGGGTGCTAGTCTAGATATGGAAGTAAATTCTGTTTCCACTGTGAATATGCACAAACATTACACCATGTTGCTGGAAGACATCCTTGCTTCCCCAGCATGGTGATCATCTTCTGTTATCTGGTGTTACCAGGAGTGCAGATGTCTCAGGTGTTCCAGGTGGCTCCTCCTTCCTTTGGCCAGATTCAGATCTGTGCTGCTGTGAGTCTTGCTTGTAACAGAAGTCACTCGCAAACAGTGCTGCTCACTTGACTTGGGTCTTCTGCAAACCCCTGCTTGTAGCATCTTACCCAGAAGTTCAATCTGGTAAGAAAAGAAACTTGCTAAATTCCAACATGTCATTGAGCAGAAATACTCACTCTAAACTATGACTACTCCCTGCGAGCCCTAACCAGGAGGCTGCTTTGCAGAAGCCCCCAAAAACCTGCAAAACTGCAGCTGTACGGCTGTCAGCATGCCCTCCAGTGCCTGTGCAGTGGAATGACTCAGTAGCACTATAGAGATTCATGACCCTTGTGAAGACAAAAAAGATTCAACACAAACCGTCCCTGTGAAGCCACATTAACAGCAGAGGTTCTCTGTTCTGTGCAAGGGAGCTTATTAGATCACAACAACACAAGCAGCCCTATATGCTCTTTGTCTGAGGAGTAAGCTTTGAAAAAGAGTGAATGTTAAGACTGAATGTTAGCTATACAGTGTGCCTTGACTCTGATGTAGTAGCCGGAAAAAACACAGGGAAGAGCAGTGCAGAGGCCCAGGAGAGATGTCTGGGTATGAAAGGGATTTTCAGGCTGGTGTTAGAAAATCAGGCACAGCCTCTTGTGGAATAAAATTTAACATCATTTATAAACCACAGAAGTTACGAAAACAGTCGGGAAGCAGGCAGTGTCGGCTGGGGGGAAGTGTTATATCAATGTCATATGGGGAAGGAGTGAACACGTACTCACACAAACCAAAAGATTAAGATTATCAGTTAGAGATGGAAATACTGATTAAAAAGTGGTTGTGTAACTATGAAGTAATAAACAGAGCTTTCTCCAGAAGTGCCTCCTATCGTCTGTCCTCTCACTCCCATCTTCGACTTCTCCCGGAAATAACTCGTGGAAAATAGCAGTTTTCAAAGCAGTGGTGCCCTGGACATTGCTGGAACACAACTCATCCCAAGTTGCCTGTTGTCATTCAGGCTGCTGTAAACTGAAACCAAAAAGTAATCCGAATGGACACATGCAAAATACAGTTTAAGGATGAGCATGGAAAACTGAAATAATAGATCTACAGGGTCACCAAAACCAGTGATTCTGTGAAGATCCTATTCACTATCATCTACTTCCTTCCCCTAAGCCATTTACTGTCCATGGGGTGTAAAATACCTTCTTCTCCGACCCCAGGAACCACTTAGCTCTCTGACTCCCTCATGCCCACTTTGCTCCACAAGCACTAACTGCCCTTTAGTTCAGGCAGTCCACTAGTGCTTCAGATGGTTCCTCTCTCCCAAAGCTCAGAACAAGTGGTCTGAGCTTGTACTTAATTTGAAAGCTTCTGGGTGCTTTTTCAGACCTGAAGGAGAGATTGTATGTCTGAAAAACTGGCTACTTCTTCCAACAAGACTAGCTGGTCTAATAAAAGGTAGCAGTGCTGAAAAGGGCATGCAACATCTTTGCCATACATGGTGGTGGCCTCGGTGAATTGAGAGTCATGATTTTAACCACAGCAAAGAGATTTCCTCTTATGACAATACTTCATATGTGTCTGAGGTCAGTGGGTACCTGACAGATTAACAGGCAATTTGTGTTTATCTACTATCTTCAAGGACTAGTCCTTTGAGCTTAATCATATCAAGCTGCTACAAAACCTAAGTGAAACATTGTACCTAACTGTTAATCATAAAGAATTCAAATTAGGCCACATCACAATAAATGGTTGATATAGCCAAAATGCCTATATCAAATTTCTTATAACCCTCCAAGCGTAGTGGATTTCTATAGTAAATGACAACAATTAATTTTGGTTCATCCTCCTTGAAAGTGAATGGTTACACACGTTTACTCTCACTTTTAAAGGCAGCATATCTTTCAGCTGTTTCACAGAAGATATTTGAAACTTCTTTATTTCCAATTCTAAATTGAAACTATGAAACTATGAAATTATTCTAAAACTTTATTTTGTTCCAAGGAGCACTTGGGAAATTACCTTACTTGTAGATAAATCTCAGAAAGGTTACACTGCTTGGTAAGTTGTATGTGCTGATGCACTGGATTTCCTTTCCAGGTACTATCATGTTGAAATGGAGCAAGACACCAGGTCAATAAGAAACGGATGCCATGGAAGCACTTCTACTTTGGCTGTATCATTATGACTATTTTACTTTATTATTTTCTGGAGCATTTAATTCCCCACAGTATTTCCTTCACAGGTTCCTTTCCACCAGCACTTTAAATTTACTATTTTGAGCTGCACTGACGGGCACAAGAAGTGCAATTAATAAGCTAATACAGGCCACCATAAATATTGATAAGTTCCAGTCACACCAAACCTTATTCTGAAATTTCCTATAAGCCTTACAGTCTTCTCTGCATTGCCTAGCAAAAGTGATAGAAAAATATCAAGTGTCCTATATCTCCAAGTTTAGGACTGCTATAGAAAACGTATTTCCCCATGAAAATAAAGTAAGATATTCAGTGTGCAATATTAATTACCTTACCCAAATCTGGTCAATTTTCCTCTGACTTCCTTTCAGTTTCTACAGTTTAGGTTTGTAGATGACAACCAATTGTTCAGTAACAGTGGCTCACCAGCCTCTGCAACTGCAGGAAGAAAAGGTATCTGTGGTGGTTGTAATACCCTTAATACTATCTCAACACTTTTATCTGCAGGAATCCTTGTCTACAATCTTAAGCAATTTTGGAACCATTGTCACCAAAGGTAAAAAATCTCAAGAAAGACACCTGTAATTTACTATGTCCCTGTTCTGCCTTTTCAAGGACTGTAACACAATGTTCAGCTCTTAAAACCAAACCAAAACAATAAACTTAACTTCAACCTTTGACTTTCAATAAGAGTCGTGTTAAAAGAAAAAAGCTGAGGAAGCAGTTCTTTGTAACAGTGATATTGTGCCTAAGGTGGTCCCTGCACTTCCACACAAGAACCCCTAGTAGATACGAGCTGATGTAGCAAAAAGAACATCTCTTTTCAGTACCTACATCAGCTGTGCATGGAGACTGGTGAGAAAACAATCACTGTAAAACTTAGATTTACAACTCTGGTTAACATGTTAGTTGCTCAGCTAAAGGCTGAAAAAAAAAAAATAAAAATCATAGAATCATAGAATCATTAGGGTTGGAAAGGACCTTAAGATCATCTAGTTCCAACCCCCCTGCCATGGGCAGGGACACCTCACACTAAACCATGTCACCCAAAGCCTCGTCCAACCTGGTCTTGAACATTGCCAGGGATGGAGCATTCACAAGATCCCTGGGCAACCCATTCCAGTGCCTCATCACCCTAACAGGAAAGAATGTAGATATGTACAAAATGTAAACTTCAAATTAAACTAAAAATATCAGAGTAAATACAGATGATCCACTTTAGTAGCCTATTGAAGATCTTAACCAGAGATAAAGGGCCTGGTGGCAGATTAACTGTCTTTCCCAGTCACAGAGAGCTGAGCTGCCAAATATAACATATTCCTGGGGTGTCATGTGAACAAATGTGTAAATTGAGGCATGGCAAAGGCATCAATGAACTGCTCTTATTTTAATGCTCTTCAGAGATTAAATTGCAAGCTAAATTGGTGCCTGGGATTTATAAATAGTCCTATAGCTATATTTGATGTAAGGCTAGCCCATTTGTAGGGTAAGCCCTATACAAAGTAGAGTATATTCAGCTTTCCCAGCTATATTGTCACAGACATCATATAAAGTTTGTAAAGTTTAAGTTTAAGGTTCTTAAGTTCTTAAACTTAATCATATAAACATCATATAAACATATAAACTTTGTCTTGCCTTAAACGTATGCTGTATGTTGCAAAACATGCTGCAACCAAGGCTGTTAAGCTTCCAGCATGAGAAATCTGCAGTGTGTCTGTCTGAAACTTAAAATGAATGGTACACACAGAGGATGATCATTTGTTGAAATCCTACTGTTAAATCTGCTAAAAGGAATGGGTGAATGTTACCTAATAATTTTAAAATACATACAAAATAAACTGGCTGTTTGTATGTTCACAGATATTTTGGATATTGGATATTACAGAGAAATTAGGATAATTCCTGATGTAATAAAAATGGAAACCTATTTTAATTTATACATTTGTATTACTCAGACTGTTGACAAAGGAGAGAGAAAAAGCCAAAACATTTACAAATGTATCTGAAAACAGCGCTTGACACCATTAACTATACTCTTTTTGAGACATATGACTCTTCAGGTACAACTTTACCATATAAAAACACATTTTGTAATGCATATAGACTTTGTATTTAGCTTTAGCTGTGTTTTTGTTGCCTGGACTCCCTCTCCCCTCACATTAGTACAGGCATCTCATGAAGGTACTTCTACCCTTGATGTTCAAGGCAGGTGGAATGAAGTTGGAGCCAGGCTCTTTGGAGGTGCACAGTGGCATACAGAGAAATGCCAAGCAGACAGAAGGAAAAAGTGCTTCCCTCAGAGGGTGATGAAGCAACAGAAGAGGTGCACAGAGTTGCCATGGTATAGCCATCCCCAGAGACTATCCAAGCTTCATGGCACGAGGCCATGAGTGAGAGCACCAGCAGAGAAAAAGACAGTACTCATGTGGCATGGGTGTTTCAAAGATTGTTTTTATCTAGATTTGATGTTCATTTTAGCTACAGAAAAGTGAAACCCCAAATCACTGCCCCCCCCAATGGCTCTTCTAGAAGAAGGCAGCAGAAGTCTGTGTCCATGTCATCTGCTGGATGGACCACGCTGTACTTGCGACACCAGCTTGCTGTGGTGGCTGTGCAGGGAGGCTCGCTCCTCCAGCCCTGCTGGGAGGAGAGCTGGCCTGGCACTGCTGGGGCCTCAGGCACAGAACCTGCTGGCTCATCTGAAGCAGGAGGGAAGGGCTTTACACTTAGCTCAGTTACTGCCTTGCTGGGTAACATTGGATAAGTCCAGGCCCCTCTCTGTGTCACAGCTAAGCCAAACGTCATTTGATGCTCAAAGATACGGACCTTTCCCCCACGCAGAGGGGAGCTGGGATTCAGCTGATAGTGTTTGTCTGGGTTTTTGAAATGAAGGAAAGCAAGACAAGAAGTCCTAATGGAGTACAAGGAAAGGAAATGAGATACTGTCATGTTTAATCCTTCCTTGCACCTCTGCTTTTTTTGGTTGCACCTTGATAGGCAGGGCAGAGCTGGTCATGTTTGGCTTTTCAGGTCAGGGAAAGGGGTATGAGTCGTAATGCTGTGATGCAGATGGAGGTCATGCCATTTATCAGGATCCCTTTGTACACAGTGTCCTGCTACAGAGCCTGCTCTGGCTGCATTATACCACTGCACTTCCCTCCTGTTTTGGGACACCCTGCTCTGGACATCAGTGATTGGAAGGGAACAGGACAAGACCTTGCTTAAGCAGTGAGGAGAGATCCAGCTGTGCATCCCACACTCAGTGCACAGGACTTCCCAGATGAGCTTTATCATGGCACAGACCCCAGCTCTCTGAGTGAGTGCAGACTCACGTTGCCTTGACAGGAGAGACAGAGAGTGGAATCAGTGGGGCCTAGAGCTGGTCACTTCTAGTGAAGCAGAAAATAAGTGGCATGGTTATGCAATTGCCTCTGGTAATAACCCAGCCTTCACCTCCTCGTGGGTACTGAGCCAAAGAAAGAAATGTGCAAGGTTAGCACTTTCATAGCATGCACACAGAGCCCTGTCAATACGCAGCATGGTGATTTCTTTACTCCCTCCACCTCTGCCTGCCTCTCTCATATTTTGCCTGCCGTCACTCACAGATAAGACATTTTAAGTCTCCCACTTGTTAGGTTATACGCACAGTGTGACAGCCTGAGGTCCGGGAGCCCTGCTGAAATCATGTTCTTAAAGGAGGTCCTAGTTTGCCCAGCAGCAGCACTGGTGTGTCAGGGGAATGGAGGACTCCAGGGCAGGATCAAAAGGCGTCAGGAGATCAGTGTGCTGCACTTGCAAGAGGATCAGAAACATGAAAACCAAGAAGTTTCCCTGTATTCAATTTAATGCTTTGCATTTAGGTTTTTCTTGACTCTCAATAGGCGACCCTTCAGGTAGTGGAGCAGAAAGAAGCTTTCTCTTGCCGTTGAGCTACTGGACTAGCTGACACAACTTTGTTTCTCCACTTGAAACATTTCTGGGGACATTTTTCATTGTTACTATGAATAAAAAATTAAAAAGTACATGAGTGATGTTGCTCAAGAAGCCTTTAGCCGATGTTATGAATTTCTCAGCCAGTGGTGCCATAGATGTGACCATGTTTCTGTTACCCGTCTGATGAATCAGATGTTGGGGGTCATTTGGCTGCAGACATGTTCCTCCCTAATTGTCCTCCAAGTAGGTGGCAAATGAACTCATCAAAGAAAGATCAGAAAGCAAGGCTGAGCTGTTTCCTCAGGCATTTTGACACCTCACCATTTCTTGATTGAAGAAATTGGCACATTTCTGGCACATTGCAGGTCTTCTCTGATGAGTGAATTGGTTGGTCATCACTCAGACTTCATATTTGACAGAGGGAAGGTGGTGAGGAGAAGACCTGAACATCAAGTAGGTAACAAGATCTGGAAAATAAAAGAAGTCATAGAGCTGAGCTGTTGCTGTGTCATTGTTTAACAGCTTGACACTATTACCTGTGACACTGCAGGGACAGAAGAGGATTTGAGTCTAAAGATGAAGCAACCAAATTTCCTGGACCAAGGACTCCTTCGCCTAATGAGAATGCTAGCTAGGCAACTGAGGAACCTGAGCAAGAGAATGCTGCTACACTGCAGTTCACCTTTCTCTAAATTTTGCATCCTGCTGCCCACATTGTGGATGAGACAACATCTACAGTAAAAAAAGCTTATACTCAGTTTCCAGAATGAGTGTGGAACATTGTAATTCCATAACAATTGTGAGTCCTCTTCTTCTTAACTAGGCCATGGCATCAGCCCTTAGCAAATCCTTCAGTGTAAACTCCACATAAGCAGCAAAGCAATTTCCATTCCACAACTAAACTCTACAAAGAAGGCTTTAACACAAAGAGAAGTAAGCTTGACAGAGCAATTTAGTCCAAGACATTCTCATGTGATTATACTCTGGTATGTCTTTTTTATTCACAAGAAGCTGCATTTCAGGATAGCTTTTAATAGAGCAACATACAGAAGCTGCAGAGCTGCTGCAAGGGCACTGGCAGACAACCATAGCAAAGTTTTGAATTTCCCATTTCTCACAGTATTATTAACTCAGTCCAAGGACCTGCACAACCATTTCAGTGGGTACTTGTATCTGTCTCTGTTCTCAGGTAGCTTTTTTAAACTGAGATATGCAATACCAAGCACAGTAAACCAGTATATAGGAGCTCAGGGCATCTCTTGGACCAGTGAGCCTGATTTTTTCACACTTCATAGAATCACAGAATCATAGAATGGTTGAAAGGGACCTCAAGATCATCCTGTTACAATCCCCCTGCTATGGGCAGGGACAACTCACACTAGACCATGTTGCCCAAGGCTCTGTCCAGCCTGGCCTTGAACACTGCCAGGAATGGAGCATTTATCACTTGGGGAAACAGAATTTGCTTAACCTGAATGTCTTGCCAAAACTGAAGTAGTTTTGACCATCTGAGACCTAGAACACTCCCTGAGCCTCCAGGATTGAATTGACCCCTCACGATTATCAGATTACAGAGGAAGAAATGACATTCAGTCTAGTGGGTGTCCCCATCTTGCTCAGTCAACAATAAATATACTTGTCTCAGTTTCAGGCGCAAAAAAACCTATAACTGAAATGAGACACACAGGTTCCAGAAATCTGGGAGGTATTGGAATGCGGTTTAAGGAATATTGCTGTTATTTGTGGGAGTAGGAGCCAGGGAGAACATGATCTACATGTAAAAATCTGGAGGAAGAACATAAGCATGGGATGTTCATTAGATCTGTCTGCAAGCAGCAAGTATCTTTTGAGTTACAGGATGAAATCACATAATAAACATTACATTTTCAGCCTGCAGAGGAAGAGTCTGCAGTGGGAAATATGCACTTGATGTTTTAATAGTTCAGGTTTGGCCTAAGAGGAAAAGAAAATTCCAAAAGAATGATAAAAATGCAGCTTGCTTTTTTTTTCAGGACCTTGTTTATTCCCAGAAAATGATGTTTGGCTGAACAGAATAACATTTGGCCAGACCTTAGGGGGACTTTTATGAGTTCCACGTGAGATGCTGAAGCCTTGATTGATTGGCCTCAAATCCCTCAGAAAGATGAACATCCTGTACCCACATCCACTCAGCCTGCTTTCCTTTTCAGCCTTGCTGCTGTAACTACTGATTTCTCTTGCTGTAGTCCAGTCTGATGCTCATTCAAATCCAGATGGTTGCTCCGGTTTGGGGTGTGTCAGGAAAGCAAAATTCACAGCCTTTCTGGCTTTCCTTCTGCTGCCAGTGAAGTTTCAATTTTGGAACTTAGCAGGGAAATCTGCACTCTACCCAAAACAGTTTCATGCCCCACAAATTCCTCATCTGTGTAACTTAATCAAATGGCTTTTTGTAACAGCAATATCATGCATATCCTGCATGGCCAGCCCTGTGCAATTCTGAAATTCACACATGGCTAATGGATGCTGTGAGTACTTGGGTACCCTGCTGCCTGTGGAGACTCAGACATTTTGTTTGTTCATGAGCCAGGCCTCAGCAACTCAGAAACACCGACTCAAATTATTTAGTACCTTTTGCAAAAAAAAAAAAATTATGTGGGAAGAGAGATATTCTGTGTTGACATGATTTTCACTGGTAAAAATGAAAAACTCAAGTCCACACACAATTTTAGTAAGTTACCTGGTGAAATGGATGCCTTCAAAAAACATACTATTCCTCAGCATTTGAACAGTTTGCATCTTTGCTTCAGTTCTCGTTCATGCTCTTGCATGGCTGGTCCTTCCCCCTCAGCCCCATGACAGCTTAGTCCTTTTCTCCCCAGTCCTGTATGATGGATGGCCCCAGTACACTGCAGATAAGCCAGCATGGGGCTGGACCCCTCTGCCTGTGAGCAAAGCAGCTGCAGCCATGGGAGGGGTAGGCAAGGCTGCTGGCCAGGTTGTTGCTCCTGTGTAAGAGGAGCTGCATCCATACTTCTCTCTTGAGCCCTCCTGATGCTGCTCTGCTCCCTCATCTCTAGCCATGCCTCCCTGTCCCTTTGTCCCCTCTGAGACGGCTCTGGTATTGCCTGGATCATGCTCCTCCTACCCACCCACCCACCCACCCACCAACTCTGGAATGCTGCAACCAAAGAGCATTTGTGTTTGGCGAAACCACCATGATTCCAAGTGTAATGAAGTGGGTGATGACAAGAGGTGCAGGAAAAGAGGGAAGCTTGTTGCTGGTGGCTGGGGCAAGGCATCATGATCCAGGTTCATCACCTCTTTTTGGACAAACTCTGGCCAGTCTCATGGACTGGAGAGCCAGTCAGGGGCAGATCAAGGGTGTGGGACCAGGTGCTTACCAGGCCTGGACTGAAACCTGCTCCTTTCTTCACCCTCTTTTCTACTAACCACGATGCAGTCACTCTGTGATGTCCATACATACAACCCTACTTTTATGCTACAGGGGACAGGCAGCACCCTGGCAGGGCTGTGTAAAGGTGAGAGGCTGTTCAGCAGCTATGAGCAATGGGTCCTGCTCTCTGAAAGGTGGAGGGACCGAGTATGCTGCATATTACAGTAGCTGCCAGCGGTTATCAGCTGTAGCTGGGAGAGGAGGCTGAGTGGTGCAGGCAGGACAGATGTGTGTCTCTCTTCATCCTCTCCAGTCATCAAACGTAACATGTGGACTGTCATTAAAATGTCTGTTCTGTGACGCTGAAAAAAGCCAATGTCCAATGTAAAAGGGAAGTTTATTGACGGAAAGGTATACATGATTATGACATGGATGTAAAGACGTGTCATGAAAGGAAACAGAGAATCAGACACTAGCTCAAATGATGTCACAGACTCCCACTGTGATTAGTAAGGTGAAATGGCCCTTCCCAGCACTTAATGACAGAAGAAAATAGGTTTCTTGACCACTTGTTCAACATTTATGATGGTCCTGTAGGGGAAAATCCAAAAGAAAATAACCTCAGTGAGAACAAACCATCAGGATCTAAAATATGGTTTCAGGTACAGGGTAATCAGCCCCTTCAGTGCAAAACAGACAAATGCTGGACCAAAGTCTGGCAGAAAACTGTGTGGGATATGTGGGATATATGCCTATACCCCTCCGAAACTGCTCGTGAGATAGCAGTCAACATAACTGCTGTGCTGAACCAGGACAGGCTTTCAAGGATGGCTGTAGGGAGATTATTCCTTGCTAAGTATGTATGCTTTTGAGGAAATCCTGAAGATATTTCCCAGTCTTTCCTTTATTCTGCACTTTCACTTTCATTCTAGAGGCTGAGCTCTTCCCATGAACAGTAACATGGTCTTCTCTTGGAGTCCAATGAGCATGTGTCACCGTGACAGGACTTGTGACAGCATGAGACAGGATCTGGCCACTGTCTCTGGCTGCTCTCTGAAAAGCCTGGTGGTGACCGCAGAGTCCATTTCCTCAGAAACAGTTATTGCTCTCTTCACCATGCCCATCCTTCTGCACGTGCTGCTTTATACTTTACCTTCTCACCTGCTTGGGACTTTTGTCTGGATTTCACTTACCTTCTCTAATCATTAGTCCATTTCTGCAACAGCCTCTTTGCAAGGTGACATATACTGAGCAACAGCATACTCTTCTGGAGAAGAAGGAAATAAATGTTCCTATTAGCCTGCAGACCGCTTCTGGTGACTTTCCCTGGATGTAGGTACACCCCACGCTTGCTTAAACCAGAGATCCTTGAAATCTCCTTCATTCTGGCTTGTGAATTTTTGTAGCTTTCTAGTTATACCCACTTGTCACCTTGAGCATAAGATCACAGAAGTGAAATAAGTCTCTCCCCTGATACTAAATCCAGATCCTGATAAGAGTTCAGAGAAATCTTAGGTCCAGGAGGTTCTGTATCTTCCTTAATGCATGCAGTGCTTCTGCTGTCCCTGTCCCTCCCCCAAGCTTCGTACTGCTTAAAATCAAAGACTTACCAGTTTCATAATAATCATAGATCTGCACAGAAGCTGGCTTGGGATGGGTCACAACAAAGTCCTGCTCAACTGAGAAAGTGATTTCTTTCCCTTTCTTCTGCGAGATCTGCGAATGGAGGGACAAGGATCACATAAGTTTTTTTATTTCTGCAACACCATCTGGAGCAGACAAGGGTGGTAACTGATAGATTGTGTATTCCAAATCCCACTGATGCCACACATACACATGTGGGACATCCATTATCTGAAATATGTTTGGAGTCCACAGTGAAACTGAAGTGAAGAGTTGTAGTTTTCCTATCCTGCTTGTATTACCTGATTCTGTAGTTATTACACATCCTATTGTCAGAGAGTTAAAAACAGTCCCAAAAGAGTAAGCTTAATTCTCCAGTGGTCAGAATGATAAAGTCTGGTATTCCAGCCCCACCACTTTCAGACATGAGCTTTATGCGCCACCAAGAAACTTATGGGAACCAATGTACATCACTGGGGTATTGACTTTTGTTAGTCAATATCAGCATAAGAGATATAATGAATATCTTTCCAGAGCAGAGCAGTGTTTCATGTCCTCTTGGAAGCACGGAGGTTTATGACAATCCTACCAAGGAGACATACACACAAAGAGACATCTTTTCTGGTGTTTATCTGCTATTGACTGAAAGGAGAAGGAATTTTGATTAATTTCTATGTACTATTTTTTTATTAACTTACAGTTGCTAGCTGGGCAGGTGTCAGTTTGAAACTGTTTGGGAGTTTGGGATGTTAAATGCAGTTTGAGGAATAAGTAGCTTAGGTTTTACAGGGGAAAACTGATGAGGGAGGGAACATGGTACATACAATTTATCCAGTATATTCACACTGTAGGTGCATCTATTATATGCTGTTTGCACCCTTTGCAAAATTCAAATAAACAGCGATCAGAACTTACATTTTCCAGATAAAGGAGAACATGGTTTTTCTTGTGTTCTACTTGCATCACTGTATGACTGTCAACAAGCTTTAAAACAAGGAATTGGAGATAAATATAAAACATTAAAAAACAAGTTCTACCTCAGACACTACCACTGCATGGCTGCAGGATTCTGTTCCTAGCCAGCTATCAAGAGCTAGCAGCTGATAGAGACCAAATGATGCTATATAGACTAAGCAATTCCTGCCACTTGACTTCAGCGCTTCCCGGGGGCATGAGAGGCATTACAGTTAATTTGGAGAATTCTGCCTGACTTCGGTGTTGTGTAGTCTGGCAGATTTCCCACCCTTTCCCTACCTGTGCAGTGTCAGCTCCCAGTTGCAGCTGCCAGCTGGTCCAGGCCCAACCTGGAACCCTTCCTAGTTTTTAATCTGGGAAGGTCTGTGTAGTCACAGCTCCCCGTAGGGAATTCCCTCCACCCAGTAATGAGAAGTGCAGCCATGAAACATCTCACAGGGTTTGTGAGTGAATGATTCTTAACCAGGCTTCTGTTTTCATCAGGACCAGTCTTCTCAGTCCCTGGGGTGACTCATTTAATCTTGCTCCTATAGCTTACCTTATCCAGGGAAGACTTAACAGGAACAAAGCCAGAGAGCATCTTCACATCTATTATGAGCATGTTAGAGCTGCTGCGCTTCCCTGTGTAACTGAAACAACAGAGGACCCTGTCAGTCTGGACCATCCTTCTGGCCTCATGCAGCCAGAGGGAGGCACAAGCCCCTAGTATGAGGGGGCCAAGTATGTGCTACCACCATCAGTTACTGTCACAAAATCTTTTGGGATATTGTGTCTTACAGACTGATATCATCAACACATTGATCAGTTTATGATTCTTGACTTTATAAGCAGAACTGGATACACACAGCAATCTTCCCTGCATGTCTTGTCTTCTGTGCAGCTGGTTTGTTGATGGTGTGTTACCTGCTTATGAGGACAATATCAAATTTTCCTGGTCGATCCGGTGGGCAGGAAGCATTTGATGTCTGTACTGAGAGAGAAAATCCAAAGGTCCCCTCTGGAAGGTGAATACTGTATCTCAGTACTGTCTGGGAAAGGAAAAAGCCCTTTTATTCAAGCATGCCAATGTTTTTTCTTTGCATTCCAAAGAACTACTAGATGTAGTGAAGCTCCCTGTTGCCCTTGGGTTTACGTGGAAGATCTTTGTTTACATCATCAGTTGTGGACACACCAGACTTCTGCTCTTTAACAATGAAGGTACTTGTACCTTCCAGAAAGAGGATCGGAAAGGACTCCTTTCTTACCGTGCTGTGACTCCACAGGAGTCAGAATGTAGTATGGGAAAAAGAGTTTTAAAATAGCTTACAGCAATCGAATAATTAGGAAAAATGAAGAGAAATCAGATAGAGAAACGTGAAAAACATGGCTGTATCATGTGCATGATGTGAGGCACAATGAAGGGGAGAGTATACACCTACTTGCATAAGCACACATCCACTGCCATTCACTGCTAGTCTGTATTTCCCAGAGACCTCTGGAAGGGGAGTCTGTTGCAGCAGGAGCCTGTTTGCATTGTTGACAATAAATACTTTCTCAAATGGCTTTTGGGAAGTGATCTTCACTATGTTTTGCATAACAGGACTGTAGGTGGCCCCACCATAAGCAGCGAGGGCTTGAAGAGCAATGACTGTGTCCTGAAGGAAAAGAAAATAATAAAAGGCAATTAGCTACACAGCATGACCGGTGCAGGGAGGTCGAAGTCATGGTTCCAATATGAAGCAGAGTCGCTTCATCATGGCTAAAGGAACCCTGAATTTGTGTATCATTCCAGGGTTCTCATATATAAGGAGCCATTTCATTTTGGCATATATGTTTCAGGGTGGAAGAAATCTCTCTACTCATACGAAGACCTCACAACAAAATCTGAGCAATAGAGTTTTTCATAATGGTGAAGCATGTGTTTTCTAGGGACCTACAGAGCATTTCTTGGTCATATAAGAGCCGGGACTTGGTGTTTTCTAGGCCCATCCCCAACACAAGTATCTGTATTTGCTGCTAGTCAAATTACTCTTGTATGGCATTAACCTTTCCATAGTTGAGAAGAAGAGGGGGGAAAGTATTTTGGTCTCTCAATGAGAAAGGTTTGGTCTCTGTGTTTGAGACAGCAGATACAAAAGAGAAATAAGACTAGGTAGTCAAAGCCCCACTGGCACCTTGAACCTG